ACTGTTCAGGCCTTTTGATATTTCCTAATGTCCTCTATTGGCAGAAGGAAGGCAGCAGGCGGGAAACAAATGTGTAGAGCAGGAGTTTGTTGGCATACTGTAACCCAGTTGGCAGCTCATTTTTTGTATGGAGTATGAGGTAAGAATAGTCTGTTTTTAAGGAGTTGTGGGGAAAAAAAGAATATGCACTAGGGACCATATGTGGCTTACAAAACCTAAAATATTTACTAAGCTTTATTGTGTGTGTGTGTCTGTGTGTGAATACACATGCACATACGTATACCCTATTAATATATATTATTGCATATTAATGTGTTTTGACATACATACATTACTTTACAGAAAAAGTTTACCAGCCCCTGGTGTAGAGCCCCAGTCCCAGTATCACAAAGCAGAGTACAGAAGTGTGAGTTAGGAGAGGAGCCAACAGCTTCATGATTAATGTGACACCTGATTCTCTCGGTGGGGTGCACGAGAAGATCTACTATTATCATGAGATAATCCTTAATTAAATAGGATACTTAAAAGGTTTTATTAAGAGGATTCTGGAAGACAATGCCACTCACTGAGAATTTAGGAATAGCAGTTCATAGTCTTCTTCCCTATTCAAGAATTTAAGTCCTAAAAAGCAGGAGATGGAAGAGTACTTTAGTTCTCTCCTACTTTCGTTCCCATGTGCTTTTTCTCATGGACTAGAATTGTCTTTTCTGACTTTGACTCTACTCATTTCATTGTTACTCACACAGGGAACTTTCTGTTAAACTTCCAAAACAGAAAGGACAGTGATCAAAAAATAATGACGGAAAATAATGATAGCTAAAAAGAGATTTGTTAAAAAAAAAAAAAAAAAATTACCTCCCCCAAGGTGAAGCATGAAAAGTGAACATGTACAATACTGACTGGTAAGTTAAAGACACATTGTTAATCCTGGAACAATCACTGAAAATACATAAACAAACAAAAAGAGGTATAAGGTAAGAAGTCAATAAAGGCAATAAAATCAAACATTAAAATTTTTTTTCAATTAACCCAAAGAAGGCAAGAAAAGAGCAACAAAGTAAGAAAATACAAGAGATTAAAAAATTAATAGCAAGATGATCAACTTAAACACAACCATGTCAACAACTACATTAAATGAAAATGGACTAAACACCCACAATTGAAAGACAGAGATCATAATACTACTTAAAAAATAAAACACAAAAAACAAAAGACTCAACAGTATTTTACAAATACATACAGACGCAGAATTACAGTCCAGAAAGGACCCTACAATATATGCTATCCTCAAGAGACACATTTTAAATATAAAGAAATAGATAGGCTGAAAGTAAAAGAATTGACAACAAGCTTAAACAAACTACTCTCCCTAAGGAGGAAAATTACAGTTCAGTCCCATTAATGGCAAATATACAGGAAAGGTAGAATGTCCTCTCTGTGAGAAATGTGTTTTATATACAGATCTGTCGCTCTATCTTATCTGGTATCATGCTGGACTAAACTCCCAGACAAAACTGACTCAATTTCCACCAAAGCTCAAGCCATCCAAGCATTAAAAAGGGTGGAGAGGAAAACCTAAAAGAATCTAAGTGTTTTACTTGCCTTTCTCATTTTTAAAATAAGCAATTACTGGGCTGCAAAAAAGAACTTCCCGGAAGATAACAGCTACTACTGTTGTATATCCTCCTTTCTGATGTGCAATTCTGCACATACATGCATTTGCAAAATACAAACTGTGATATGGATAGACAGTTTCAGTAAAGGGAAACAATATGCCTTAAAAGGAAATGATCATGTGAGTATATGAAAGGTTATGCCAGGCACACAGGCAAAAGATCCATGACAGACTCTGCTTCATTAAGTAATGATTTTCCTGAATTGCTGCTCAGTGATTCAGTGGTGATTACAAGATATTACATGCAAATGAAGTAATCCAACAACGCACAGCACAAATTAAATGCTATGATAACTAAGATCAAATGACTGATTTTATTTTTCTATGTAATTACCTACTCTTCTTCCTAAAACGGTAAGGGGCTCTCTCTCAAGCGAAGATACTAAATTCAAACTATTTTAAAGATGAATTCATGGTCACAATCAGGGAACATCATACAAAGGGAAAAATCACCAAACTAACTATAACTAAATCAACAAATAAAATTTTAATTATGCAGTAAGTGCTTGCTCTATGGGAAAATACTCGACTTTAATTTTTTTAAATATTTTTAACCTACATCAAGGTAAATGTGACCTTGAATTACCCTTTTTTAAAAAATTTAAATTCAATTAGCCAATATATAGTACATCATCAGTTCCAGATGCAGGGTTCAATAATTCATCAGCTGCCTATAACACCAAGTGCTCATCACATCATGGGCCCTCCTTAATGCCCACCACTCAATTACCCCATTTCCCCACCCTCTTCCCCTCCAGCAACCCTCAGTTTGTTTCCTATAGTTAAGAGTCTCTCATGGTTTTTCTCCCTCTCTGATGACTTCTCATTCAGTTTTCTCTCCCTTCCCTATGATCCTCTGCGCTGTTTCTTATATTCTACTTATGAGTGAAACCATATGATAATTGTCTTTCTCTGACTGACTTATTTCACTCAGCTTAATACCCTCCAGTTCCATCCACACAGATGTAAATGCTAGCATTCATTCTTTCTGATGACCGAGTAATATTCCATTGTGTGTGTGTGTATATATATATATATATATATACACCACATCTTCTTTATCCATTCATCTGTCAATGGACATCTCAGCTCTTTCCACAGTTTGGCTATTGTGGACAGTGCTGTTATAAACACTTTGGGTGGGGCGCCTGGGTGGCTCAGTTGGTTTAGCAACTACCTTCAGCTCAGGTCATGATCCTGGATTCCCTGGATCGAGTCCCGCATCGGGCTCCCTGCTCGGCAGGGAGTCTGCTTCTCCCTCTGACCCTCCCCCCCCCATGTGCTCTCTCTCATTTTCTCTCTCTCAAATAAATAAATAAAATCTTTAAAAAAAAAAAAAACAAAAACACTTTGGGTCACTACACTTATATCTTTGGGGTAAATACCTAGTATTGCAATTGCTGGGTTGTAGAGTAGCTCTATTTTTAACTTCTTGAGGAATGTCCATACAGTTTTCCAGAGTGGCTGCACCAGCTTGCATTCCCACCAACAGTGTAAGAGGGTCCCCCTTTCTTCGCATCCTCACCAACATTTGTTGTTTCCTGACTTGTCAAGAATTACCCTAAGTCTTGCACCTATTCTTCTAAGCTGTCAAATATATTGCTAACACTATAAATTCCTAATTTATATTATAAAGTCCCCCCTACCAAAGGAGAGCCCATAAGCTAACACCGCTATATAAATTTTATTAAAAAAAGACTACTCTATACAACCATATCAAACCAGTTTTGGTCCCTAGCCCTAAAATCATGTAATACTTGTGATATTTTGTTTTCATAGGTTTCCAAAATGCTTCCAAACAAAGTCCATCCCGTTTACCAATTCTAGAGTACTGGCTGATACTTAATGTGCTAGAAAGAGAACAACCCAGGCAACCCAGGTATCAAAAGCCTCTAAACATAGTAAACCAGCAATTCTAGTATTAGCTAATTAACTTATATGTGGCATGGGCTGCATTCCCGTTCAGCTGCTCCTTCAGAACTTTACCTTGGTTTCAACTTTGCTCAAGTCTTTAATTCATAAAACTAAAAATGCCCTCATTAAAACATTCCCAAGATCAATTTTATCTTGAGAAAAAGATTTTACAGCAGATAATTTATAAGCATCTATGATGGATGGTTTTAATTTTATATTTGTTGAGTTTTTTTTTCTTCAAGATTTTATTTACTTATTTGACAGAGACACAGCGAGAGAAGGAACACAAGCAGGGGGAGTGGGAGAGGGAGAAACAGGCTTCCCCGCAGAGCAGGGAGCCGGATGCGGGACTCGATCCCAGGACCCTGGGATCATGACCTGAGCCGAAGGCAGATGCTTAACCGACTGAGCCACCCAGGTGCCCCTAACCATTTTTTAATGCTGATGATATTCATGCTCTAAGAATGAGCTTACCTACCTGATTTGCACACTGAAAGGACAAAGGAAAGGTAGTTGAAGAGTAGGGGGAAAAAATGCACCCTCACTTTTTCACATATCAGAGTATAAACTCTCTGGTTACAGACACAAATTCTAAACAGTTCAACAAAGACTGATATAAAACAGATCAATGGAATAACTGTAACCTGGCAGAATTTCTGCCTAGATCACGTTATTACTAGGTAAAAGACAAAGGGCTTGGGCCTGACACAAAATAATAAAAGGCCAACAGGATCCAACACAAAACAAACTTGCCAAAACCAGTGCAGTGTCATTATCAAAAGAGCACATGGGGGGGGGGGTGCCTGGGTGGCTCAGTCGTTAAGTGTCTGCCCTCAGCTCAGGTCATGACCCCAGGGTCCTGGGATCGAGCCCCACATCGGGGCCTGCTTCTCCCTCTCCCACTCCCCCTGCTTGTGTTCCCTCTCTCATTGTGTCTCTCTCTGTCAAATAAATAAAATCTTAAAAAAAAAAAAAAAAAGAATCACATTGAGGGTAATTTGTTCTAGCTGCAGCTGTAACTCTGCAAATTCAAACCATGGGCCCAAGTATAACTCATCTCTGAATAGGACATTCTATCTAGCACCATCCAGATGAGAGATCAGAGCAAAAGAATCGAAACACAGCTAGAATGGGTTCTTAAAACATAACTATACAGATTTTAACAACTCAAAGGAAACAAAATACTGAAATAAGCCACGAAAGCTTTCAGTAATCTCAATGCCTAATTTTTCCAGTCCCTTTAGGTCATAAGGAGTTACAAGGTGAAGAAAATAAACACAGATTTTTTTAAAATTCCATCCTTTAAAAAAAATTGTTTTATCTATATTTTGGGGGGCTTAGAAAAAAATGCTATCACCATAAACCCAGGATAAATAGATTAGCTTTCTCTTCTATTTTCAGGCTTCAAACATCAGTGTTCAATAGTTTTAACAAGCCCAGTGATCAGGTATGCCTGTCCATTAATTACCTTCATGTCATAGCCATATGTCTCCCGGATATCCTCATCAGAATCTGTTTCTTCATCATCATAGTCCATCGTTTGTCGAGGGGAAGAAGATACACTGCTCACCACCCGGTTAAAAGCAGATTGCTGGAAACTAGGTAAGTGTCCCTAAACAACAAACAATTCCAAGATGAACAGAGGGACATACTAAATAAACAAGGGTAATGAATGTGCACTTCAGACCACCTAAATGTAATGAACTTGCAAAGTGGCCAACAGAATTCAACAGTTAGTACCGATCAAATTATTTGGTTATGATGCCAAGGTCCATCTCAATGATATTTCCAGGTAATGGTTCACTAAAATGACCTAGGTATATACCCAAAAAAATCCTATAGGTGTATCCAGAAAGATGTTATGGATAACACAGCTGCTGGCAACTTGCTGTTGTTTTCCTAATCACCTGGTAAGATATATTTGATTTACTATTTATACACATAATCCCATGAAATAAAAAAAGAAAACCCTAAACTTGCCTGTAAGTCTGGATTAGCAGCTGCTTTCTGGAGTTCTGCACTGATGATCTTCTCAGTCTTTTCTCGAGCTGCCTGCTCCACCATGCGCTGGCTCAACACAGACAGTTTGGCTAGGGCAGAGGACAGTTCATCTGTGGCTAGGGCCTGCCGTGCTCTATCTTGCCAACTCATAGCTCGTTCTGTCAAACACTGCAGGGCCTCTCCTTCAGGCAAACGTACAGGCAACTTCTGAAGGGATACCAGGAGTGAGAGAATAGTCTCTAACCTTGGCCTTCGAGACCGCATACAAAGAGGGCAAAGGAATTTTACTTCTTTAGCCTGCCAGCTAGACCCTTTTTTTTGGGAACCTGATTTAGGAAGGGGAACACAGCTGTTATGGAACCAGTCTTTGCAGAGCTCACACTGTAGCATAAACCCACTGGCTGTCTTGCGGCAAATGCAAAATTTTACTTCTTCTATGCGGTCCACCATTGTCATCTTGGCTAGGTTGGCTGCTCTGAGGGAATGCATGGCTTCAATCTCTTTTTGCTCCCGTTCTTTGAAAACCGCCACCTGTATACAACAAACATTTAATTAAAAAGTGTCACTGCAAAATACTCCAAAATGCCAAATCCTCAGAGCTGAGGGATCATCTCCACATTGTGCCCTCATTGTAACAAAGTATTTCCTTAAAAACAAACATTTATCAATCATTTCCTATAATTTGGGTGCAAACATTCCTCATCTGTGAAATGCGCAAAGTGCTACCATATTTGGACAATTTATATCAGTAGGGTACTTTGAACTCTTCTGTAGGGAGCAGTAGAAAGATAATATGCCTTGGAGTCAAGCAACCTGAGCAAAAAGCCTAGCACTTGTACTTATAAACGGTTGATCTGGCGCACAAGTTTTCTGAATCTGTTTTCTGAAAAATGAGGATACCAACCGACCTCATTTTGTTGTTTTGAGGATTAAATAAGATAACACATGAAAGTGCCTAACTTGGTGCCTCACACAAGGTAAACACCCAATAAATATTACTTCCCTATCCCCTTGTAATTCCTTCCCTGGGGGTGACTTCTATACAAATCAATTCTTATTTTTTTCTTTAAACAGCCTCTCCAACTCATGTAGAAGTAGAATAACAAAGTGTGATGGCCAATTATAACAAGGTTTTATGTAACTCATTTCAAAAAAAATAAAAGTAAACAATTTAATTATCAGGAACACTGTCAGTGTATTTTCTTTTTCAAACTGTGGTAACTCTGAAACAATTTTGAAATAATTTCCAGTTCTATTCATCTGGCAAGACTGACTTGTTAGGCTGGCTCGCTAATAAATCATTTCCACTGGCCTCAAAACAGGATCATTTGGGGGCGCCTGGGTGGCTAAGTCAGTTTAGCATCTGGCTCTTGGCTTCAGCTAAGGTTGTGGTCTTGGGGTCAGAGGATCGAACCCCGCATCAGGCTCCCCCCTATGTAGGGAGTCTGCTTCCCTCCACTCTCTCCCTCTATCCCTCCCCGCCCCGCTCATGCATTCACGTGCTCTCTCTCAAATAAATACATCTTAAAACAAAACAAAACAAAACAAAAAACCCCAGGATCATTTGTAGGCAAAAACATCTGTTATCAAGTGACTTAATGTATGTAATTCACTACTGTTACATATAGCCTAAACTCATTTTTTATTTCTCTTTACATCCTCAGGCTCCTAGTCATCTTCACACATTCCTCCTCCTCTCCAAAAATACCCATCATTCTAATAAGTTACAAGTATTTTCTTAAGCACTCACTATATTATGAATGAGACTAAGAGAAAGGAGATATTTTAAATAGCAGCTGGTATCATTAAACAGATATAATTCCTTTTAAAAGCACAGGATTAAATGTCACAAAATGCTATTAAATTCTAACCCAGTAATCACATTCCTAAGAGCTAAGTATAGGAAAATAATTTGAAAAAAGGAAAAGACTTTATAAAGAAGTTCACTTTATATTATCCATAATAGCAAACATTAGTAATAATCCAAATATTTGATGTATCAGAAAAGTATTAAACTACAGACAATTTGATGGAATATTAGACAACTATTAAAACAATAATAAAGAACAGAGATATGGAAAAGACAATTTTAGGGAGAGAGCAGACTAATAAACTTCTATTACAAATATAAAAAAATGAAATATTTTACTATAAAGCCAAAGATAAAGTATACACAAATAAAAATAGTTAAGAACATAAAACCAATGAATCTGCTAATATCTTCATAGAATTTTATATTCATGAAGCAGACTCAAAATGCATTACGTAATTTCTTTTTTTTTAAAGATTTTATTTATTTATTCATGAGAGACAGAGAGAGAGACAGAGGCAGAGGGAGAAGCAGGCTCCCCGCGGAGCAGGGAGCCCGATGCGGGACTCGATCCCAGGACCCTGGGATCATGACCTGAGCCGAAGGCAGACGCTTAACTGACTGAGCCACCCAGGCGTCCCCATTACATAATTTCTTACCACCATAGCTGTATCTCTGGTTTCCTCCAATCCTTCCTCCAGATCACTCAGAGGCTCAAGGTCCAGATCCTTTTCTTTTTCTTTTTCTATTAGTTCTTTTACTTTTTTCCTTCTGTTCTTACCACTCCCGTATATACCAATGTCAGTCCGGGGACTTAGCACCTACAAAAATAAAACCAAACACTGAGTTCTAGTTTAAAAAAAAAAATCTTAAAACTGAAAACAATAAAAAGGAACCATTTACTGACCACTCATCTTGTCCTAGGCACTTTCTTATGTACCTTCTACACACACCTAACTCAATCCTTACAACAACCCTCTGTATAGTAGGTGTATCATCTGTATTTCACAAATCGGGGAAACTAAGGCTCAGAAAGAAAACAACTTACCCAAGTACACAGGCTTAGCAATTAGAGAGCCAGTGCTCAACATGAAAGTACCTTACTCCAAAGCCTATGCCCTTTAACTATTAGGATGTTCAACTGCTCAAGATGAAAAGGGTAACGAGTATAAAATATTTCAAGGACAGAATCCATTAGTAACAGAGATAAGATCCAGGCTGATTGCTTTATCTGGACACAGTACAAGATGAACCGGAGATAAGTCTGCCTAAGGATCCAGATTTCCAGTCAACATTTGATATCACTTAATAGGAATCACTTATATAACCATGACCAGATAAACTGAAAACAACCCTCACCAATAAAACCCCTACCTACAGGTATTAAATTACCAACTGTTCTTTACCTGCAACAAGGTATGGCTAGAATTCTTCTTAAGAAAGGTCCGCCCGGTCCGTTCTCTCCATGCCCGTGCAGCTGCTACTTGTGATTCTACCTGGGGCAACGCATCCAGGCGCACAGGGATAGGTCGCCCTTTAGCAGATAAGCTCTCCAGCTGCTCCAAGTAAGCATAGTTGCTGCCACTCTGAAAAACAAAAGTGCATTCACACAACTTGCACTTTCTTATGGAGTCTATCTAGTGATACTGGTCGGAAGATCTTACAAAGAGTTTAGTGTTAAGTTTTTTATTAAATGTTATTCTTTAAACCTAGAGCTTCCAATGTCCTTTTTAAAAATTCTGTAAATTCATACTGTCAGAGATTTTTATTAATTAATGAGGGAACCAGTTAAGATGTAAAAATCAGTTCAAAAGAATCTAAAGAACAGACATATAAGGGGCACCTGGTTGGCTCAGTCAGTTGAGCATCCGACTCTTGGTTTCAGCTCAGGTCATGATCTCCTGGTTAGGACATCAAGCCCAGCGTCCAGCTCCCTGCTCAGCGGGGAGCCTGCTTCCCTTCTCCTTCTCCCCTGCCCCTCCCCTGTTCACACACACACTCTCTCTAAAATGAATAAATAAATCTTTTAAAAAAAAAAAAAAAGAAAAGAAAGAACAGACATATATAAATACAATCAGGAATGAGACAAGAAATTTGCTAATAGATGGAAACAGATATTTAATATCATATGGGACAATTCAATCATCTTTTCTACCATGGGGAAATAAATTGTTCTGTTATAGATAAATTTAATTTTCTATGGACATAATTCATTTGTATTACTATCATTTTTTAATAATTGACAGAGCTGTAAAATAGCCTGGTCAAAGAAAATCTACAGCACACACTCCTAGAATGAGATAATCCTGGAGAGTTCACTAGACAACATCCAGTACTCCACAAAAAGGACATCCGGTAATTTCTTTTGCCTATTTCAAAGTCTTTCAAACTCTTCCAACAACAATACTGAACCATTGTGACTTAGGCAAATATCCGTTCTCATCTGTAGCAGTATTTTATTTCTGATAACCACCTCCATTTTATGTTATATAAATACAGATGAGAACGGATATTTGCCTAAGTCACAATGGTTCAGTATTTCCATGTAATGAAGTCTTTAGAACTACTACTGCTGTAAATTTACTAAATAAATCATTATATGAGATGAGAGGGTTAGTAAGTAATCCATTCCAGGGATTTGGCAAGAACACCCGAAGTGGGTTGACAGCCAACAGGCAGTAATTCAGATACCTTAGATTGGATGAATCTCCAGGCGGACAGAACACATAACCATTCCTGTAAGAAACTGTATATATGTCCTTAACATTCACTGTTACTCAGAAGCCCTGAATGAGGGAAAGGCATAGTTACATGCTATACATAGACATTCCAATAAAAGGTTATTTCCTATGTTAACTGACTCATTTGCCTATAAATTCATTTTGAAAGTTACACTGAAACATGTGGAAAAATAAAGGCAAAAAACTTAAGTGATTTTTTTTTTTTAAAGATTTTATTTATTTATTTGAGACAGAGAGCACATGAGAGGGGGAAGGGTCAGAGGGAGAAGCAGGCTCCCTGCCGAGCAGGGAGCCCGATGCGGGACTCCAGGATCATGACCTGAGCCGAAGGCAGTCGCTTAACCAACTGAGCCACCCAGGCGCCCTTAAGTGATTTTTTTTTTTAAAGTAGGCTCCATACCCAATGTGAGGCTTGAACTCACAACCCCGAGATCAAGGGTCACACACTCCACTAACTGAGCCAACCAGGCACCCCAACTTAAGTGAATTTTTAATAATAATAATAATAATAATGGGAAGGTTCTAGCCCTAAGAGATATTATAATGGTATCATTAAATCACTGTGGTACTAGAATTAAAGAATAGTGAAATGGAAGAGAAAAGAAAACTCAAATAGATACAGCTGAGAAATACCAGGTTTACTGCTACTCCTTGTACCCAACTATAGCTGTTTGACTAGGAAAGACCTCCTGGCTAAGACTTGACTTAGCCTGCTCCCAAGCGCTGTATCTTAAAGAAGAGTCTGCCTGTCAACAGAAGGTGTCCACTTACTTAGAACTACGAGTCAGTCTCCCCATTGAAGGAAGGGCTTGGCAGACGGCAAGTCCTTCAAAATTATAGAGGAAACACAAGACAGCCATCTCTACTTGTAGACTTGGTCTTGTGGTCATAAATTAACAGCCAACCAAGGGTTATCAAACATTTGAGGACAACCAACCTGCTGAAATAGGTTAAAGATGAAACAGAGGAGCTGTCCTGATGAAAACAGAGATTAATTTTTTTTCTTCCAATATTTTATTTAAATTCAAGTTAGTTAACATATAGTGTAGTATTGGTTTCAGGAACACAATTTAGTGATTCATCACTTACAGAGAACACCCAGTGTTCATCACAACCCATGCCCTCCTTAATGCCCATCATCCATTTAGCCTATCCCCCCACCCACCCACCACCCCTCCAGCAATCCTCAGTTTGGAAAATAGAGGTAATTTTTAAAATAGCATAGAAAAATGCAGCTAAGAAGCTCCCAGAAAAAGTTAACTGAAAACAAACTAAAACAGAAGTCATTAGAACATGACACCTAGAATATGTTCTTTCTTGGGACAGCAGAGAGTTGGTTTCATTTTCTTTGGATATAGGTTTACAATAAAGAGTATGTACATTCTCAATACTGAAAATGCTGCAAGGTTTTTATAATTCAGGAGGAATATTATATATTGTTTTAAATTAAAATATATAGTACATGTCTTTCTGAGCGCCAGGGTACTGTCTTTATACCCTTCCCTCACATTTCTACTCCCAAACAACTAGAATAATACCTACCATGAGTGTTACGGTGTTCAGTAAATATTAATTTCATTTTCTTTTTTCTGCCTCTTATTTTAAAATTTATCTGCACACATGGCAAAGATTCAAAGAATACAGCAGGGAATAAACTCCCTATTGCTAAGAGTTAAATAAATAGCTAATTCTGTCATCTTTCATAGCAGGGAGTCAACAGAAACAAGTAACATTTAAATAGGTAATATTTATTTTGAATGACAAAATCAGATGGAAGAACAACTGAATTTTAAGTACTATTATTTTATTATGGTTATTCTATTCTAAAGAATTAAAGGCTTAAAGGATTCATCTGTAAGACAACATTACCCAAATGGTGGGATAATTCAAGAGGCTCCTTACCTGAATAGCTTCCACTTTAGCTGTCCATTCTCGAGCCTTTTGTAACGCTTCTTTCAGGGACAACACATTGGGTAGAAAGGCTGGAATGTTCTTGGCTTCATTCACTATGCTTTCTAAACTTGCCACACTGTGCCGTGGTCTTAAAAAAAAAAAAACACAAAGATAGGGTAGATGCATGAGGAAAAGTCAAACTGCTACCAACATTTAAATAACATTTTAGAATGTGCAGAGAAATTTCATATACATGATTTAATTTAGTTCTTACCACATCCTATAAGGGAGGCAAAGCAGCTATTACCTTTATTCCCAATATACAAATAAGAAAACCTTAAAAATCAATTATTTTCCCCAAGTCATTTAATACAGTGAATGGCACAGCTGAAATACTGATTCAGAATGAGTCTCAGATCCCTTGCTCTTTTCACTACTAAACTGGATCTATTTTAGTTCTCCACAATATCTGAAACTGTCAGTCTAGAAGTCCAGTAATGTTGACCGTGTACATTTAATTCAACTACATTCAATACCACCCAGTTAAAAGATGAATAAAATAGACCTATCCTCAACAAATCAGAATACAAGATAAGAATTAAACTTGTACTGGGGACGAAGAGCAAATCACTACAGGCTTACCACTATGGGAAGTTGTGATTAATTCTGCTTAGAGGGGCTGAGATGGGCTTTGAGCTGAGGCTTAAAGAAGTGTGACTTTCTCAAGTGAAAGGTTAAGGAAAAAAACCCAGGAATATAATGAACAAAGACATGAAGAAACATTTAAAAATAAGTTAGAGGTCCCAGAGTACCCGGCTGGCTCAGTGGGTAGAGCATGTAGCTCTTGATTTCAAGGTCAAGAGTTCGAGCCCCACTTGGGGGTAGAGATTATATATATTCTTTTAATTTAAAAACTAAAATCTTAAAAAAAAATGTTAGTAGTCCAGTTTAAGATGGGAGCTGGTGTGAGGACGGGGGTGAGGTAGGAGTTAAGAGCAAGAAGTAGGGGAATTTGACAGGAAAGAAAGATGCAAAAAGATATAAGAGGTCTCGAGAGCCATGAATTTTGCGATGGAAGCAATAGGAAGCTAATAAGGGTGGGAACAGTTTCATTATCCATGAATCCTACTATGTGCTAGGCATTGTGCTAGGTCCTGGAGATTATTAACACACAGGAGTGATAGAGACCTTGCCTCATGAAACGTTTTAATCTTGTGGTAGTAGAGGGGGATTATTCATAGCACGTAAGATGCTATCAAAATATACAGCAGGAGGACCATAAACTAACTCGGCAGGTGACGGAAGGATTCCCAGACGTGACTTCTAAGCTTTCTTATCCTTTTTGAATAGGAGTCAGGAAAGCTGGGACCAGAGGCCGGGTAGTGGTACACCATAGGGGATGGGCAGAAGGGAAGACTGTTCCAGAGGAGAATAAAATGAGCACATGCGAAGGTCCAGAGACAAGAAAGAACACGGCATATCTGAGGAAAGCAGGGGGATCACTACACTTGGAACATAGAATGCAAAGAAGAATGGCAAGGGATGAGGCTAGATCCTTAAGCAAGGGGCTAGATTACAGATGGTCTTATGAATCAGATGAAGGACTCTAAATGTCATCCCCAGGGGAATGGGAAACAGTGAAGGGCTCTAACCAAGGGAGTGAAAAAGCCACACCTGTATTTTAGGAAAATACTAGTTGCAGTGTAGAGAATGGGTGAGAACAGGGTGAGGTCACAGAGCCTATGATTTAGGCCAACTATGACAGCACCCCCAAAGAAGAATGAAAGTGATAAACATTGAGGAAATATAATCAACATGACTTGGTAGTTAACTGAAGTTGAAGGTATGTAAATGGAAAGGAAAAGTCAAAGTTAATTTCCAAAGCTTGTTTAAAGGAGGAAAAAAAAAGGTGTAATTCAAAGAAAAAAGGAGGAAAGGAAGAGATGATGGGAAAGAGTTAATGAATCCAATTCTGGATATGGGGAATTTGAGATACCAACAGGACATCCAATGGAACTACCTAACAGGCAGATGGTATCTATGAAAAATATCTATGTTATAGATGAGAATTTGGAGTTAATCAGTATAAAGATGGCCAATGGAGCCACAAAATATATTAGATGAAATTTCCAGGGAGAGGTACAGAGTGAAAAAAGAAGTGGTCTAGGCCAGAATCTTGAGGAAAGGCATTATTTGAGAGGCAGGGAGAGAAGGCCAAAAGCAAAGAAGGAGGATATTGAGAAAATAGTGGTCAGAGGCCAATGCTAAGAGGCCAAGAACATTGTAGATGTGTTTCAGAAAGCTAACTTTGACAGAAGTTAGAAAACAAAAGGTTCTACTTTCCACTATCCCCACCAAACCCTATCACCCTCTATATCTTTACTAATTATATTTTCTTCATGACAATTATCTGAAATTCATTCATCCATTCGTTCACTCACTTATTCACCTGTCTCTCCCCACTAGAACGTTGGCTCTATTTTACAGCAGGAACATTGTGGGTCTTTTCCCCCACTATCTTTATTACACTTAGAAATAGTGCCTGGCATGTAGTAGGTACTCCATAAATACTGAATTGCAAAGATTAAGGAAAAATACAAGAGCACCATAACTAGGTCAGTGACAATGAAATCGAAAAAGACAGATACGAAAGACATTTTGGAAGCAAACTCATTAAAACTTAGTGATTGATTAAATGTGGAAAAATGAGAGAAAGTGAGTTTTCAAATATTACTACCAACAAAATCTCATTCTGTAGACTACAATAAGTTGCATCAGGTATATCAAATCATGGTTTTGTATTCCAAAGTTATTTATCTTTTCCCATTTAATATGCTCCTGGAACTGTCATGAATCTGAAGACACAGAGTAATTTGAAGGTTTCAAACAAAAAGCTATGGATACATTTTAGTACGTATTCTCCATGATAACTAGAGAGCAAAATATCCAGCAAAAATACATGCAGCCTTTTCTTGGTTAAACAGAACTGTGTTCACTGAATTATCTAAGGCTTCTCCTATCAACTGCAACCAAAATAAGTGGCTGGCAATTAAGTACATGAAGACTTTGGAATGAAGTGGTAAAGGCTTTAAATTTGAGCTGTGTTGGGGCACCTGGGTGGCTCAGTCGGTTAAGTGTCTGCCTTCGGCTCAGGTCATGATCCCAGGGTTCTGGGATCGAGCCCCACATCGGGCTCCCTGCTCAGTGGGAAGCCAGCTTCTCCCTCTCCCACTCCCCCTGCTTGTGTTCCCTCTCTCGCTGTGTCTCTCTCTGTCAAATAAATAAAGTCTTAAAAAAAAAAAAAGTTAGTTGTAAGACATCCAGAGACACTTATAAATAAATAAATAAATTGATCAATCAATCTGAGCTGTGTATTTAATAACTATGGACTCTAAGTATGCCAGGTTCCTCATCCTCACAAGAGAAATTATAGATCTTAATTTTAGCTAAAGAAATACTTTCATAAAGAACATTACAGTCTAATTAGTTGATATACAGTCAAGTATGGTGAATGCTTTACTGAAATCTCCAAAATCCAATGGGGGTGCCAATGCTAATGCAACTGCATAATGTTCTCCTTTCTTGTTTCTTCTTTCCCACTACTTTCCTACATAAATCCTCCACTCCAAGAAAGCCCATTTAACTTGTCACCTAACCCTATATATATATTCCTTAAACTCAGCTTGATCTTTCTCTCACGCCCCTTCCACTTCAATTTCACTCATGCTTCACAGCTCTACCTAAAGTTCTTTTCTCTCAAGCTTCTCTTCTGACCACCAAAGGTAACAATGACCTCCCCTCCTCTGAATTCCTATAGCATTTTTCTGTACCTATTAGTTAATAATAACATATTGCAGTGAGCTTTACATTTCTTAGCTCTGAACTATATATAGTATAGGTAATGGGAAGGCTCTATTTATTTTTTTATTTTTTTATTTTTTTAAAGATTTTATTTATTCATTTGAGACACAGAGATACAGAGAGAGAGACAGAGAGAGCATGAGCAGGGAGAGAGGCAGAGGGAGAGGGAGAATCAGGCTCCCCGCAGAGCAGGGAGCCCGATGCAGGACTCGATCCCAGGACGCTGGGATCATGACCTGAGCTGAAGGCAGACACTTAACCATCTGAGCCACCCAGGTGCCCCTTCTTTCTTTCTTTTTTTTTTTTTTTAAAGATTGGTAATGGGAAGGTTCTAAACAAAATACTACTTTGTTTCACTTAAAGTACCTAGCAAAGTACTCTGCACTAGCATGCACACAATATCTGAAACTATTTATTTGCAGACCTATTTGATAATTTAGTGGCTGGTCAGGGAAGGCATAAAACATCTAATTAAATATTTAATGAAACATGGTGGGTATTGAGCAGGGCACATTCTGTATGGAGCACTGGGTGTTATGCACAAACAATGAATCATGGAACACTACATCTAAAACTAATGATGTAATGTATGGGGATTAACAGAAGAATAAAAAATTAAAAAAATATATTTAATGAAACAGAGCCTTATGTTCCTCCTTCGGTTCTACCCTTAGTTATTAAAAGAGGCAACAGTCACCAATGTATGTGTTCACCTTGCCTGTAGGCAGACCTTAGCCTTTTCTTCCCATCGCTCAGAGACTGTAAGGAGCTCCTGTAGTTCAGCCATTGCCTTCTCCACAGCATGGTGGGGTGCCAATCCCACCCCAGAGTCTATCAGTTTCTTCATGACATCCAAAGTGACCTGTTGTGGATCTGACAGGGTCAGTCTTACTTCATCCAACCATCGAGCCTGCTGTAGCTCTTGCTTTAGTCGGGCCAGTTCAGGTAGCTCCACATAGAGACTAGAGCCCATGTCTATCAACATTTGGAGTTTGGAAGAATCTGGGGTTTCATCCATCATGGCCTCTTGAGCACGTTCATGAAACTCTTCCACATCATCCAGCAGATTCTGAAAAAGTCAAAAGAATAAAAATAAAAAACTAATTTAAAAGATACAGAATGAGTTTGGAATAGACACAGTTCAGGAAAACTATCAAATTCTAGACTATCTAATCATCTCACCATTATAGCACCAGATATGATAGTTAAGAACATAATTATGCTTCTCTGTAATACTTACACAGACTTACTTTTAAAACATGATTAATTCATTCAAACAATATTTAATGACTACGGACTTAGATGCAGCCACTGTTATAAGCACTAAAACATACAAAGTCCTTATCTTTAAAGAACGTATTTTATTTTTTTTAAGTTTTTTGTTTTGTTTTTTTGACAGAGACACAGCGAGAGAGGGAACACAAGCAGGGGGAGAGGGAGAGGGAGAAGCAGGCTTCCAGCCGAAGTAGGCTTCCTGCCGAGCAGGGAGCTCGATGTGAGACTCGATCCCAGGACCCTGAGATCATGACCTGAGCCAAAGGCAGACACTTAATGACTGAGCCACCCAGGCGCCCAAGGAATGTATTTTAATATAAATAGACACTGAATATATGAATAAAATGTTCCAGTTAGTTTTAAGTGCTGTGAAAATAAAACAGGGCAACACAATAGAGAATGACCAGAGGGGGTGGGCATATTACTTTGCAATGGTGGTCACAGAAAGCAGATGAACTGAAACTAAAACGAGGAGTTAGAGGTGGGAACTATATGAAGATCTGGAGGAAGAGCAGTTCAGGCAGAGCGGATAATAACTGCAAAAGCTTTTACAGAGAAATGTCTTGCTCTAAAGTGGATGATGGGGAGCGAAGTGGAGAAATGCAGTTAAAAAATAAGCAGAGGTCAGATTACGTAGTGCCACACAGATCAGAAGTTTAGATTTCATTCTAATGGCTTCGGGGAAGCACTGGAGAATTTTAACCACAGAGAAGTGATATAATTTGATTTATAATTTACATGGTCACACTGGCTACCGAATAAAAATAAACTGTCAGGGACAAGAGAAGAAGAAGGGAGACGAGGTAAGAGGCTATTACAGTGATCTCAGGGGCAGAATCTAGAGGCTCGGAGCACAGTGTAAGCAATGCAGATGATGGCAAATGGTTCACTTTGGGAAACATTCTGAAGATAACGGTAGCACTTGTTTAGAGACTGGATATGGGGTATAAGGGAAATAAAAGAATCAAGAATTTTTGATTCATTAAAAGGCTTTTAAGATGCCTTTTAGTCTGCCATGGGATACACAGAGTATGCAATGGATGTAGAAGCTTGTAGGAGAGAGCAAAGGCATTGAGAGCTGATGATCTGGGGATCAACAGGATACAAGTGATACTTACGGTCACTAAACCAATAAGATGTCAGGACCTAACGAAAGAGCTGAGACTCTTAATACACTCCAACACTTAGAAGTCAAGCCAAGGAGAAAACAAACAGCCAAGAACACCGAAGAAAAGGAACTGTGAATGAATGAAGAAAACTAGAGCGTGTGATGTCACAGATATTCAGAGAATAAAGTCTCTCAGGAAGAAAGAGCAGTCAACTACCAAAATGCTTCTATGACATGGGGTAACAGCAGAAACACAACCGATACTAGATTTCACAAGCTGATAACCTTTTTTTTTTTCTTTAAGATTTATTTCTTTTGACAGAGAGAGTGAACGTACAAGCAGGGGGAGTGGCAGGCAGAAAGAAAGGGAGAAACAGGCTCCCCACTGAGCAGGGAGGCCGGGTGATGTGGGACTCAATCCCAGGATCCTGGGATCATGACCTGTGCCAAAGGCAGATGCTTAACCGACTGAGCCACCCAGCCACCTCAAGCTGATAACCTTGATAAAAACCATTTTAGATACCCTGCCCATGGCCAAATCACAAAACATACCACAAACTATGAGAGGATTACAACTATGCTGATTAATGTATTTGATAGACACTTTTTGAGACTGTGTACGAATTTAAGAAACCATCAGGGATCTAGTAATTTCAGAGCTCACATTTTTAAAAGCTCATGAACTAATAACGTCCTGATATATTCAGGTTCTTTTAACTATTTTCTTGCATTTCAATTACATCTATGCTAAATGGGGATTCTGATCTAAGATTAATGCAGAAAAAAATTCTTTTTTTTTTTAAAAGATTTTATTTATTTATTTGAGAGAGAGAGAATGAGAGAGAGCACATGAGAGGGGGGAGGGTCAGAGGGAGAAGCAGGTTCCCCGCCGAGCAGGGAGCCCGATGCGGGACTCGATCCAGGGACTCCAGGATCATGACCTGAGCCGAAGGCAGTCGCTTAACCAACTGAGCCACCCAGGCGCCCAATGCAGAAAAAAATTCTAAACTAACTACCCTTGGTTCCAGAATTTTAAAAGGAGAATTAAAGGCTAAGAATGAAACCAGGGGATTCTTACTGCCTACTGAAAAACTTCAAACAGCAGCACTTATGTGACAAACAAACAGAAGAAAAAGCTAGTCTAGACACACTGTTTACCCAAAACAGAAACCCATACTACAAAGGATATTACCCAAGAAAAGAATGTAATACTCCACCTTTACTTGTCGAGCTTGGCTGATGACACATGGAAGACTAAAAAGTTGTTGGACAAAGGCCTTCAATTCTTCCACTGTCAGTTTGGTCCGAGTCCTCCCACTATCTGGGCTCTGCCTGATGTGAAATAATATTGAGATATAAGTAAGAAAAATCCATAGTCATCTGATATCAAAGGGGCTTCTAGTCTCTCTAGAATTCTAACCCAAGCAATCCCAGAATATGAGTGTTTGAGAGGTTCCACTGTAATGGTGATCACTTCCAAATTAGGTTTTTACCTCATTAGTTAATGACTCAAAGATTCAACTCTCCAAGTTATAGTTCCTCCAATCTTATAAGTATTGAGCATTTTAAACAGTCAATAAATTCCTCAGAGTAAAATAGTATGTTTGTTAATAAAACTAAATCTTCTACCTCAAAAAGCTTAAAATGTGGAACAAGGGCCTTTAACTTGGCTGGGGGCTAATAAACCCCTCTGAAACGGATTCAGAATTATATATGTATGTGCATTTTTCTAAAAGGGTCCCTACGCTTTTGCCAGATTCTTCAAGGGGGTTAGTGACCCAATGACAGGTGAAAATTCCCTGATCAATGCTTCAAAGAAAGGTTCTCCAATCAAATGTACAAATAAAAAACGCACAAAGTAATTTAAAACCCAATGTGAAGGGCCACAGCAAAAGCCGTTCAGATACCAGGAAAGTGTTGGCATGAATACGAAACAATACCACAGAAAATTTAACACATGTGAATTCCATGAAATCAAGGGCACATACTTCTACACGTAATAACACAGCCTCTCCAGCATCCCTCAAGATTACTCTCTGCTGCCACCTGCCTTCAGCGTGTAGTATCATTTATTTATTTACCAATATTTATTGCACATCCAGTATGTGCCAGATATTGTTCTAAGCACAAGAAATAGAGCAACGAAAAAAGGATAAAAAATCTCCAACATTCTAGTCTAGCAGGTGTCTAGTGGGACTGGGAAAGAAAGGAGGAGATAATAAATAAATTAGTATGTCAGGAAGTGACAGGACTAGGAGAAAAACAAAGCAGGAAAGAAGAATAAAAAGGCTGCAATTTTATAAAGGGTTGTCAAAGAAGGCCTCTTCAAGAATGTGTCAGCTATCTGAAAAGACCTGAAAGAAGTGAGGGAACAAGCCATCTGGATATCAGGGAAGAGCGCTCAAAGAGCGAAGAAGTGAGAAGGCCCTAAGCAGAACCGTGCCTGCCGTGTACAAAAAGCACAAAGGGGAAGAGGACTGCAGAGTGGAGCAAGAAAGAAGGGACAGTAGTAGGAGAGAAGATCGGGACATGATTGGAGGGAGGTTGGGAGGGAAATGGCCAAGACAAGAGGTCAAAGATAATATAGGGAGGGGCCAGCAAATAAACAAAACCAAAAAACCCACAGGAAACCACTGGAGAACTCTTCTTAGTCTTACCTGTGCTTCTGCTTTTTGCTCAGAAGCAGCTGAGCGACAGAAGCGCAAGTCTCAGCTTCTTTCACAGCATCTCTGAGTTTTCTAAAGAGATCATTCTCTGGGTATTTCCTATCCTCAGCATCTTCCAGCATTACTCGTAATTCAATCAAATCTGTAAAAACAAAGCTATATACTATGACCACAGACATAAAAAGTCATTTAAAAATACTCACCAACCTCTCTCAAGTTAGTCATCAATCTATTAGTGGAAACACTGCAGCTGTAAAAATCTCACCACTGCAATAAAAGCTTAAGAGCAGGTGCTCATTCCTAATCCTTATGGACAATTTCTCTCCAGGAAGGTAATTCCTCTTTCTTAATTAACCTTTAGTGGCAGTCCACTGGTAATAATGACTCCCCAAAATACGTATCTACTGCCAAGTTAGCTATCTGTCCCATTTTATATTAACTTTTTATGTAAAAGAGAATTCTCAAATAGAAAACTAAATCTATAGTCAGTCAACCAACCCATTAGTCGCAAATCGCATATGAAGCCTATAATTTTTCCTTAATGGAGGAAAAGCACATAAAACAAAACAAAGCCTCTTTCAATGTGACAATGATTTCAGTGTATGCATACAAAAGGAGGAAACTTAACCTTTCTTGTGGTTGAAGTTGGCAGATAATGCTTCTGTAACACGGCTGACCCACGTGTCATAGGATTGTGCCCTGACCTTCACACCATACAGCAGAGAAGGGAGGTCCTCTAATGGGTAACGGTATCTAAAAACAAACAAAAACAAACAAAAAACACAGAAATTTAAAACTTTGCAAAAAACCAACTTGAAAATAAATTTTAAGTACAATCAGCTTAATACAATGACCAAGGAAATGGGTGTCTTAAATCAAACCACCCACAGAGTTTTAATGCAGGGAGAGACAGGGAACATGTGAAATCAATTGATAAAAAAAAAAAACTAACATTAGTTGTCAAGTTTAGGGCCAACTTTAAAGGACTGGTCCTTGGCAGGGAGGCAGAGAGACAAGGAAAAGTTACCAGTGCACACATGGGGAAGAGGAATTACAAAGAACAGTGCATTTGGTTTTAAAAGAAGTAACAAGTTTACAAGAAACGTAAGGATACCTAAGACATTTCTTCTGCATGGGGCAGGGGCACAGATCAGTTGGATGGTAGAGACACACAAGGCGCTCAGGATTACAGGAACATGTGAGAGCAGAGAGAAAACACGTGGTTCTGCACGCTGAACACTGTCGCTCATCATCAGGAACAAGTTCAAATACTTCTTCTTCTGACATTAGAACACCCTGAAATACAATTCACATCACTACATCAAGTCTTTCAAGGTTCTGAAGCATCAAAGAACTTAAAGTTACTAAATTTTTTTCTACAGGTAAATCTGACTTAAGATATATACATGGGAGGTATAATAACACATCAAAACACTTTCTAAAATTAATCATTCTTAATTTTTTTAAAGTGGGAAAGACTAAACCTTGGTGTGGAAGAATACACATTTGACTGATACAACTATTTTTTAAATATAAGGAACTTACTACTACAAATGTCAAAGCAGTCATTTTTGAGGGGGGAGGGAAATTGTAATTGGGAGGTACTTTTGGGGTGGCTAACAAAGTTCTATTTCTTGACCAGAATTGTGATGACAACAAAGGTTACTATACAACAATTCATGAAGCTATATATTTTGTCTTCTCCTTAAAACAAGAAAAAAATTGAATTTTTTTTTGTCCCAGGGATAATACATCCTTAAATCCTGAATACAGATATATTAGTTATCAATGATCCAAAAATAACACTAATAAATACAGATGCAAAGATAAAGTAGTAAAAATTAAACTATGCAAATCAAAATATAATCTACTTCAGCAAGACATCAAAAAGAAGCTTAATTAAATTCGATCTGCCAGCTTAATAAGAGCATTTGAGTGCATTTTATAAAGACTTCCATTTAATACACAAGAAAGCAAACTCTTTTCACTTACCCAAGGTAAAACCCCGATAATTTATTCACTGGCAGACACAATTCAATTCTGGCAACACAGATTTTGTTTCTGATACTGGTTTTAATCTACATGTCTCTTAACTACTCTCCTATCTTCCCATTTCTCATATTAGCATTTAATATTAGCTTTAAAAATTATTTCATGTAAAAATGGTTCCAAAATGCACTGCAGGTATTTCTTAGCTTACAAGAATTTACACAGCGTCACAACAGCTGGCAAACAGGACATTAATATATCAAGAGAAGTGGAGCACCTGGATGGCTCAGTTGGTTAAATCAGCATGGGATTCTCCCTCTCTGCCCCTCCCCCCCCACTCGCTTTCTCTTTCTTTCTCTCTCTCTTTCTCTCTCTCTCTCGGTCTCAAATAAATTTTACACCAAATCCTAAAGTATGCTCCAGGAACCCCTAGCCCTAGAAGATACTCTGCAAAAAACTTAGTCTATGGGGAAATGCTATGTATTACTATATCCCTCCCAATTTAAGAGATTATCAATGAACACCAGCATATCATAGAAGTTTTACAGTAAAGAATTACAGTAAAGTTTCAGTTTTACAGTAAAGAATCATTTATTATTTCTTTATCCCCAATTGATTTTTTCTTAATCTACCATTTCCTAAGCTTTGCCATCACAGAACAATTTTTCCTTGTAATGCTTTCTAACATTACACAGCTCAGAAAATTATAAATTATTAGGAGGAAGTGGAGAGAAGAAAAAAGAGATACAAATTAAAAGGCTATTTGAAATAATCAAGGTGAGAAAATTAAGGAATGGAACCGAATGGTAGCAGTAAAGAAAAAAAAAGGGGAGGAGTAGAAGTGATGAGAGACATTGCAAAATAAACAAATAAAAACTTCAAACCAGATAGCAGATGACTATCGAAGAGACAGATGAGTCAAGGATCACATTAAGTTTTTAAATAATGATCCTGATACTTACCAGCAATTAATAAAGTGGTTTGTGAAAGGGAAGATGGAGAGGAGATGATATTCTATCTCAGATGCTGAAAGTGAGATTATAAAAAGCTAAATAGAAATGTACAGTAATCCCAAGGAGACCCGGATTACAAATGGGTGACAGGACATGACACGTCTTTCAGAGTGACAATAATTCGTGTTTGCACAAACTAGGAGGAAACATCAAGACCTGAGAAATGAAACCACAAGGTAATAGCTGAAAGAGAGGTAAAATCCTAAGAAAGGCTAAGAACTCCTTGAAAAGTAGCACAAAAGAAAAACAATAAAACGTCAAAGGCTGCACCCTGCAAACACTGGCAATTGAGGAAGATGAGGAAAATGATTAAAAGTGACTGGCAAGGGGCGCCTTGGTGGCTCATTTGGTTGAGAGGCCAACTCTTGGTTTCAACTCAGGTCATGATCTCAGGATCCTGGGATGGAGCCCCAAGTCAGGCTCCACGCTCAGCAGGGAGTCCACTTGTGGATTCCCTCTCTCCCTCTCCCTGTCCCTCCCCCAGCTCATTCGTTCTCTCTCTCTCTCTAAAATAAATAAATAAATATTTTATTAAAAAGTGACTGGCAAGTATTATCAGATGCTGAAGAAACAGCAGAGCAAGTGTTAGCAAAAGGAACAAAGAAGCAAAATATAGTGCAACAAAGAGGTCATGGGGATAAAAGACAAAGAACAACGAGACTTAGCAATAAAGTCACTAGCAAATTCTCAGTTTCAGAATGACAGTGACAATAAAGGGATAAAAAGGAAATAAGGGCAGTGACCACAGAAAAACCACTCAAGAAGTTTTTTGGAAGAAAAAATAAAAACTTTTTCAAGATAGGAAAGACAATATGCAAAGAAAGGGTAGAGATTAGTGTCTCAAGGGCACAAGAAGTTAAGTTTATAGGAAAAGAGCCCCTAGAGAAATGTGATCAAAGGATAAAATGATCAAGAGATGTGATATTCAAATTATTGTACAAAAAGGAAAAACAATGCTCCATTAATAACACAAGTTAAACCTGAAATGAGACTATGCCACAAAAACTCACTTCATGAGTCTCTACCAATGTACAAGCAGACCTGGAGATATTGCAGGTTTGGTTCCACACCACAACAATAAAACGAGTACCATAATAAAACAAGTCCAATGAACTTTCTGGTTTCTCAGCACATATAAAAGTTCTATTTAGGGGCGCCTGGGTGGCTCAGTTGGTTAAGCGACTGCCTTCGGCTCAGGTCATGATCCCAGAGTCCTGGGATCGAGTCCCACATCGGGCTCCCGGCTCGGCGGGGAGCCTGCTTCTCCCTCTGACCCTATCCCCTCTCATGCTGTTTCTCTCTCTCTCTCTCTCAAATAAATAAATAAAATCTTTAAAAAAAAAATTAAAAAAATAAAAAGTTGTATTTACCCTATAACTGTAGCCTATTAAATGTGCAATAGTATTATGTCTAAAAAAGCAATATATACACCTTAATTAAAAAATATTGCTAAAAAATGCTCAACATCATCTGACATTTTCACTGGTGGAGGGTCTTGTCTCCAGGTTTATCATGCTGCTGACTGATCAGGGTGCTGGTTGCTGAAGGCTGGGGTGGCTGTGGCAATTTCTTACAATAAAACAATGGAGTCTGGGGCATCTGGGTGGCTCTGTTGGTAGAGCACACGACTCTTGATCTCAGGGTCATGAGTTCAAGCTCCACAGGGGGCGTGGAGCCTACTTAAAACAACAACAACAACAACGGAGTCTGCCACATCAATTGTCTCTTTCTCTCACATGTGACTTCTCAAGCATGCAATACCGTTTGATAGCATTTTACCCACAATTAGAACTTCTTTCAAAACTGGAGTCAATCCTCTCAAACCCTGCCACTGCTTTATCCACTAAGTTTATGTAATATTCTAAATTCTTTGTCGTCGTTTAAATAATCTTCACAGCATCTTCACCAGCAGATTTCATCTCAAGAAACCACTTTCTTGGGGCACCTGGGTGGCTCAGTTGGTTAAGCATCTGCCTTCGGCTCAGGTCATGATCCCAGGGTCCTGGGATCTAGCCCCACATCAGGCTCACTGCTTGGCGGGAAGCCTGCTTCTCCCTCTCCTACTCCCCCTGCTTGTGTTCCTGCTCTCGCTATCTCTGTCAAATAAATTTTAAAAATCTTAAAAAAAAAAGAAACCACTTCCTTTGCTTATCCATAAGAAGCAACTTTTCATCTGCTCAAATTTTATCATGAGACTGTAGCAATTCAGTCCCATCTCCAGGCTCCACTTCTAATTCTAGTTCTATTTCCACCCCATCTGCAGTTACTTCCTCCACTCAAGTCTTGAACACCTCAAAGTCATCCATGCCAAGATTGCAATCAACTTCTTCTAAACTCCTGTTCATGTTGATATTTGGATCCTGTTCCATCTATCACGGATTTTTTTTTTTTTTTAAGATTTTATTTATTTGACAGAGAGAGACAGCGAGAGCAGGAACACAAGCAGGGGGAGTGGGAGAGGGAGAAGCAGGCCTCCCACGGAGCAGAGAGCCCGATGCAGGGGGTTGATCCCAGGACCCTGGGATCATGACCTGAGCCGAAAGCAGACGCTTAACGACTGAACCACCCAGGTGCCCCTGTGGAATAGATGTTGTTTGCCGCATGAAAACAACATTCATTTTGTTGGACATCTCCATCAGAGCTCTGAGGTGACCAGGTGCACTGCTAACAAGCAGTCATATTTTGAAAGGATCTTTTTCTCTGCAGAGTAGGTCCAAACCATTTGTAAACAGATGTGCTGTCAGCCAGGCTTTGTTGTTCCAGTTATAGAATATAGAGTAGATTTAGCATAATTCTTAAGGACCCTGATTTCCAGAATGGTAAATGAGCACTGGCTTCAACTTAAAGTCATCAGCTGTATTAGCCCCTAACAAGAGACTCAGCCTCTCCTTTGAAACTTTGAAGCAAGGCATTAACTTCTCTCTAACTACAAAAGTCCTAGATGGCATCTTCTTCCAACAGAAGACGGTTTCGTCTACAATGAAAATCTGTACTTAGTGTAGCTACCTTCACTGATGATTTTAGCTAGATCTTCTGGATAACCTGCTGCAGCTTCTACATCAGCACTTGCTGCTTCACCTTGAATTTTTGTACTACGGAGATGACTTCTTTCCTTAAACCTCATGAACCAACGTCTGTTAGCTTCAAACCTCTGCAGCTTCCTTACCACTCTCAGCCTACATAAAACTGAGGAGTTAGGGCCTTGCTATGGATTAGGCCTTGGCATAAGAAAATGTTGTGGCTGGTTCCATCTTTTATCTATATCACTAGAACTTTCACCATATCAGCAATAAG